GAATTAAAAAAAATAGTTCTCAAGTCATGAGTAAGGAATAAACAAAATTGAAACTCTGTGTGTGTCCGTGGATACGTTCGTATGCGTGTGTGGCTGGCTGTGGATTGGTTTGGACGGCCATTCGTCAGCGAACGGCTCCCCGGAGGCTGACCGGACGCTGCACTGGCATATACACAACCAGAGCAAAAAAAAAATAAAAGGAATAACTCCTTGGGCCATTCCACCGAAGGAGGCCCATAAAGCAGCGACTGCCAAGCAATCGCTCCTAATCCCTCACTTCATCCCCGCGACAGGTCCTGGATATTGCTCGGCCCTTCTTTACGGTCGTCATGGGATTCCTTTCCTGGATTCCGCTGATATTCGACAAGAGGCGAGCAGAAATATCGTTTTTTTTCGGCGAAAATTGGTCCAATTTTTTATTTTAATTTTTTACTTTTTGTGGAGGAACCACAGGGAAAGGCAAAGAATTTTCTGTTGATGCGGCAATAGCAAAAAAAAAAAAAAATCGGTCAAAAATAAAGCCTGGAGTATCGATTAAGAGGATTTGGAAATGATGTTAGAATAATGTGGACACCCTTTCCAGGAATAATATACACTTATTCGTGGAAAAAAACCTTTCTTGTTTGTTTGGGATTTTATTATTATTTATTTTAACGTTTTTCCGAATGATTTCTGGGTACCTTTATGGAAAACCTTATAGTTTTCAAAAATTTGAGGAAGCTTTTGTTGATGAGGTACTGTATCTATACACAGCGCCTTTCAGCATAATGTGCAACACGCCTTCTGCAGTAGAGCGGGTATTTTTTCTTTCTTCAAATTTTAGAGCCAAAGAGGACCGGAAAAACCTAATCTGAAGTCAATGTATCCGAAGTCTGGAAAATGAGGATTTTTTATATTACACCTAAGAAAAATTACGAAAAAGAAAAAATAATTATTTCTTATTTATTTTTTTGCCGTCATTTTTCTGCATTCCTTTCATAAGGCAACTGCTAAAAAAAATATTGAAGACAATCTATTTCAGTCTTCCCAGAAAATCGAACCCAAAAGCTACTCAGTCTAGGCTGCATTTATTTGTTGACCATGGTCAAACCAATGCGTGTCAGACCATGAAATATGTGTCTTGTGTGCAATCGGCGTATTTTCCTCCTCGAAAGTTTATTTGAAGAAATATTCACACCGCAGCCGTGAAATGCCTGTAATTTGTAAATCCGGAAGATATTTTAATCACGGGAATCTTATTATGCAAAATTTTTGTAAATTTTCCGAATCAGAAAATACTCCATCAAATTTTTCTCGAACTTAAATTGAGAAAAAGTGAAAGCTTTGCGTGATACGTAAAACGATGTGGTTACAAAGGTTTTATTTCAAAGTGCAATTTCATAAATAAAAGACAGTTGATCTTCGGTGGTTTTCAGCTGGGAATCCATGACTTTGAATCAATTTAATCCACTAGTCCAGATGGCTAAACGACTGTCTTGATCCTGTGCAATATTTGAACAAATGAAGTATTCATAACAGGAATTCAGACAAAATGGCACAATTTTCAATCTAACCTCATGACACAAGATCCAGATTGCAATGCAAGTGAAAATATATGAAAAATTGTATTATTAATCTGTGCATGTTACGATTGGTCCTTTCATAAATATACAAGTGGACTCCATCTAAAATGGAATTCAAGGGGCTATAGAAAAACATTCGTTGATGAGAGAATTTTTGTTGTAGAGAATCCTATAACCTGACAAAATAAGCTCTACGAGACCAAGAAATAATCGTTATACAAAGAACATTTTTGTAGAGAGAGTCAACCTGTAAAGATTGTGTTTCCCGTTTTTCTCGCTCGATCTTGGTAAATGAAATATTTTATTTTGACGTGTTCCGCAACTTTAAGCTACGTTTATTGGTTGAATGGTGTAAAATTTGAACGTTTCTTTCGCTCTATTCAAATTGTCCCTTGCTGCATTCTCGTCAGTTTCAAATTCCATCTAGACTGAACTCCAATCAGAAGTTCAATGCTCGTTCTTCCATGCTTTTGAAAGTGTGATCATCCACGGATTGTGAGAGTGCCTATATCTCCGTTGGGACTGCAAAAATGGACAAAAACAAAAGAAAGCGGGAGAAGGCAGAAAAAGGAAGACCAGGCCTAGGTGTGTTTTTGTCTTTCTCTCGCTCTCTTTTTTTTGCAGACCTCAGCTTGTGTCGGGTTCGGCGTCGAGATATAATGCGTTTGGACAGTCGAGGAGAACGGCATAAATCTTTTTGGCACACGAGCCGCATGCGGAGTGATGAACTGCGCCCGAGTGGCCGAAACCCAGGGCTTCGGTCTGCTCTTGCTATTCCGCAAAAGGTCGGGAAAACTAATGCGGCGTTTTTTTTTTGTTTTTTGTTTTTTTGCGTGGGGCAATTTTGCTCTCTTTCTGCCTCTTCTTGTCCAACTCATCTCGTTTCAGTGTTACCAATGTTGTAGCACAAATATCGTGTTCAGTACTGTGAAACTCAGTTTATCCGGCAGTCAACTTTGCCCGACAATTGGCACATTCATTGATAAAATTAAAATACGTAAATTAAATAAATTTTAGTTAAATTTTGAGAATAAAATTAAAATAAAAATTGTCCGAAATCTATCAAATAGATGAGATGGTTGATTTCAGAGAGAAATCAAAAAATTTTTTTAAATGAGCTTGAGGTTTTTGCGAGCTATCGAACGACGAAAAATGCACATTTCAATCAGTAAAAAAAATTATTACATTGAATCAACCGTGGTATTGCATTACTCGGACACGAAAGTCTAGTCGTTATAGCTTATATAAACTTTTAATTCCGAGACAGAAAAAAAATGTTGCGATCTGGCAAAATTCGAATCACATATATTGTCAAATAGCTGCTCGAACGTGCTTTGAACTCTCTAGATTTTATTTAGATCCGCTGAAATTAACAAAAAGAATAACAAGAATTGCTAAAAGAAAAGGTCAGTTTGTGAAAACCTTACACAATCACCACGACAATGAATGAAGGTTATTCATGTTTAACGCAGTTATTTTCAGGATTTATTTTTCTAAGAAATTCATGCTTGATCTACGAAATTATTTTAAAAGAATGCTTTAATTTTATGAGGCAACACAGTCCTGAAGCACCTAAAAAACCTAAAAGTAAATATACCTGTTAAAAAGTGCTCAGAAAAAACGAAGGATGCCACTCAAAGTAAAATTATTCGACATCATTAAATGTCGTTGGTTTCCTTTTGATAATTTTCAGTTTATTCATAGTTTAACCGTGGTTGCAAACGGTTGTTTACCAGCTTATGTCAGAGCTTTGCGTCGTTCCTGAATACAGGGTCATTTAAATTTTACCAGATCGAGGTCGGGAACTGCTGCGTGACCCAAGTAAGAAAATGATAATAGTTGGCTGATCCTAGCACAGAAAAATCGCAATCTTTCCTTTATGTCCCAAATAAAAGCAACAAAAAATCATCAGTTGTGCACTGCAGATTTTTTTTATCATCAGCACATTCAGGCAAGTATGAAAATCGAGGGCGTAAAATTCCGTGAAGGATTACTTGGATGAATAAAATTAATCATTGTTTCCCCCATTTTCTTTAATCAGCTACACTATTATGCCAGCTACTATTCCCTTGAATTCCCCTCCGAGACGCCGTATATACTGATTAGAGACCAGTCTCAATTAGATACTTGGCATTTATGAAGGCACTTATAGTATGTAAACTTGGCAACACTAGGAACAGGACACGAGTAGGAAAAATATGAGAAGAAAAAAAAAAGGCTGGTGCGAAGCAAAACACATCGCTTTGGATGAAGCAGGAGAAAAATGCCCTGGCATGACTTCCACTCGGGATTGTTTCCTCCGGTTCCTGCCCCGCGTTTCTGTACAAATTGGATCCCATAAATAACAACGCTTCCTGTTGCTCATCTTTCCTATCTTTTATATTCCCACCACCCCATCTCCTTCATCTTCCTGACTTTTGGGGGGCCGAAAAAAAAAATCCGGGAAATGGGAGGAAATTCTGCCGCCATTTTGACCCCAGATGTTCCTTTTTTCCCCGTGCTCGTAAATTCTTATTTGGATCCTCCCGACAAGGAATTATCAGGATTTCAGAGGATCTACGAAAAGGCATATACAAGTCACTAGATTATTATATTCAGATACATTTTAATCCGGATTTCATGCTTGTAAAAATTGGACACGGGTTCGCGAACTTCTGCTGGAATTCAGGGGGTTTCATTTTGGCGATTCATTGATTCTTCGCGAGAACATTGACTTCTATGGAAATTGCTGAATGCACTATCAATACTTGTATTGATTGTTTCCCCGCGGAAGTATATTTTTGGCGCTACTGCTGAAAATCGGAAGATGGATTGGGTTTTTTTCGCGGAAAAATAGAGACTCACACGTGATATCGCAGGTGAACATTTGCGTCAATCAGTGGATGCTGTATGGAGATTGATGACGCCGAAATGAAGCAGTGCTTTTGATCGTTTCTGCCTGGTTTATTCACGAGGATGATGAAGACAAATCCCCTCTTTTTATTTCCCTGAAGACTTTCCCGGGAAAGAATTTAATAAATTGATGGAACGTTGCGGCGGAAGCGTTTATTGTAAGCAGCCATGACATGCTCATGCCCCATATTTATTTTTGATTCCCTGTTCATCAATGGGAAATTGACTGTCTGAAGATGCTGACATAGTTTTGATACTGAATTGCGAAATACATTCAACACTTACCCAGTAAGAAGTATAAGCTCATTAATCAAAATCAAATTTCCAAAAAATTCCGAGAAAACAAACTATGACTCGGCATCCCAATGGGGTCGATTCTGCGACTCAAGGTGCTGCTTTTTTTTTGGTAAAATTTGAATAAAACTACTGTCTGAGGCACATTTTTCCTGAATTCCTCAAGATTTTGAGGATATATCCTCAATTCTGCAATAAAAGTTCCACGGTTGCCATTTTCGTCGTAAAAAAAAAAAGTCACGTTCAAGTCTGAAAAACTTTTATTTGATCGGAATGAGAAAATTCGGTCAGTTTGACTCAGAATGGGAAGAGAATGAACAACTTTCCAGGGCGGTTCAAAGATGTCAATTATACATTCATTGAATTTTTCAAGTTTTTGAAATTGGTTTTCTTTCCGTTTCTCTTTGTTCATGTCCTGTTTCCAGTTCTAGAAGTGACTTGCCTCCAGTGTGTTCGACATTGAAAAATGAAAACAGGGCAAGTGCTGCGGCTGTAGCTGCAAATGTGTAATACACTCCAGAAAGTCCCACGAGATTCGTGTATGCCAAATAACCGGCAGTCACGATGATCACGTTCAAAGTCTGTCAAAACGTGAGACAAACTTGGACATGAAATGCTTTTTTTGTGAACTGGATGCATCAAACTCAAAAGAAAAATTTTCCAACTGCTTAATATTTTCACGCTAATTAATTCTGAAACTGTTACCATGTTCTTTTTTTTTCTTTTTTCTTACTCATACAAATGATTGTGGCCTGAACCCTCAAAGAAATCAATCTGATTCCATCACTAAAGTTCGTTGATGGAAATGGCCAAAATAAGGTGAAGTTTAATCAGCCCATTTTATTCATTCATAAGGAAATATTGTTCTTAATTTCTCCTTGGATCTATAGAGTCTCATTTTCGTTCGAATATTCATTTATATCGTCATTAATTTCCATGCCTCCCGTTCGACGCTTTTTGCATTGGAAAACATACGAATACAATTGTAATGGATTATTTTAATGAAGTTCAAGCATCTCATTGACTATAAATCATTCCTTTATATTATTCTGAGGAGAATAAGAAACAGAATTCCTGGCACGTATATGACTCATTTTTGATGAATATGAAACAAGGGGAATCAGTTTCTTCTTCAAGACAATGATTCTCGTGTCAAAATGAAAGAGATGCAATGGAAATCGGTGACCTCTTTAGGAAAATTGAACAGTACTTAAATAACTTATGGGGTTTAAAGTATTGAATAAATCCCGGTGGAATTTGCTCTGAAAAGGCCAGAATGTTCTCTTTTCCTCATCCAAGCAGTGATAAGATTTTTCCCGGGTTTTGTCAGGATTTCCCCACTGTCACTTTGACCCAGATTTCATGAATTAAATTTAGTTTCCTCGAATTATTCACATCTTGTGAGGGTCGAGAGTAAAGAGTTGATAATTCTGGCATCAGTTATCTAATTTTTTATATATTAAAAACCTCAAAAACAAACCGACTTTAATTTTAGGATTTTTTTTCACTGTATTTTCTACGCGAGGCTTACTTGAGCAACGAATCCCGCAGCGACGCCGAAATTCGCCACTTTCTGGGGCAATATTTCCCCTGATATCAAGTGCAACAGATTGGCAGTCGACAAGCAATTGCAAGCAAAGTAAATGCTCAAGGCAAGGATCGGCCACCATCGAGACAAATTCCGCAACACCGGGGACGTGTCCAAACCGGCGCCATCGTGGCCGATCGCAGTCAAATAGACGCCGAACAAGGCGTGGTTCAACGCCATGATCCCGGCCCCGATGTACATCTGCGTGTTTCTAGTCACGATCCCCACGACGAATGTTGACAGGGTTTGAGCCAAGAGGTCCACGACTTGGGCTATGACATTGGCCAAGCCCGGGGAAATCGGGCCGGTCAAATGGGCCCGTTCGAAAATGTCCACTGCATAACCGATGTTGATGGGGAATCCTGACCACGCTTTCGACGAGTAGAGCAGAATCACTGTCACTATTGGCACAAAATATCTGTGGATGCACAGGTGCAATCTTGTTATAAAACAAACTTTCTTGAATTATGTGTCATCAGCTCTTTTTTGTTTTGTTGGACGATTCATTTTTGAGGTAAATCTAACGCAATTGTCAACACTGTCCAAAGATTTAAAAGAGAGGATTTTCCACTTCATTTTTGAGGATTTTTGAGTAAGCAAGGACCAACTTCATGTGGGATATTTATTTAAACTTGCACATAATCTTTCTTGGTCACATTCCAATAATCCGCCAATATTTGCTTGGGTTAGGAGTGTAAAGGGATTATTGAAAGTTTATCAAACTACTATATGAAGTTAAACTACTGTACTATGAAAATCAAGCACTGTATAATATGAAGTAACACTCTTAATCTACTGCTGGAAAACAATTAAAATAACCCTGATGGGATACATAAATTATATCTATAGCAATTGTCCCCGAGAAGGGAATTAAGACAAATTTGTTTGTATTTTTTTCAATTGGAGACGTCTCAGAGAAATTCAAATCAAATTGGCAGAATATTAAAGAAAGAATAATTATAGGTATTAAGAGCACATTTGCGTTACTCAATAATTTTCGCAGATGTCTGATGACCTTCTAACAATATGTTTCAAACCCTTGATTATCATAAGAGAAGATTTGTTTAGCAAAATAATTTGGCAATTGCTGAGGGTACAACAGTTGCTTGAGCCAGGGGATATCTAAAAGGGATTTGAGAGTACTTCAACGAACTAAAGTGATATACTGTATAACGGCACAATTATCATAGAAAAGAGAATAAACAACAAGGAGCATATCAATCATTATTTTGTAATGACCAACTGCTTTCGAAGTCGAACCCCTGCAGCTCATTTCATACTTCGGTGACAATCTTTTTAATTTACTATTTTGAAAGAGAACCTGTTTTCATCATACAAAGGAAAACAAATTTCATCTCCTGTTACTTTTGTTGTCACAGCGATATTCTGGTTTGTTGTAACGGTTCAATGCAATAAATAAGGCACCCCTGCTTTCGAGTTTACCCAATGATCAAAAATGTAACCCACTTTCGTTTGGTGAGACTCTTCCAGGAAAACGTCGTTTTGTCAACAGACAAATAAGACTTGATTTCTGTCAATTCCTGATCAACGTTGAACAAATGCCCTCGGTACCAAGTCAACGATTTGCGCGCCGAATCCACAGTGTCCCGACGCTTATGGCCAAGGAATATGTGGAAATCGCCCAATCCCTGTTGGTCTTGTCGGCAATTTCCATGATGTATGCGTGGCTCAAATTCGTTCTTGCTCTAATGCATACATTACAATTCTTTGAATGATAATGAAAAACACAGCGTCATAAGACATTGAATTAATCTCTAAATATCCAGGCTTAATTACTCAAAATACGCAGATGAGATTAAAAGAATGTGCTCCAAAAAAAGCAAGCGTAGAAGAGAGAGGGCTTAAAATCTCAAGTGTTGGGGGAAAAAAGTGCAAAACACTATTTCGATTATGAATTCTGATTGGCTGACTTTGAATGAATAACTACGTAATTTATCCACCGACAAATAAAATCTATTTATCCACGACCTTTAAAAAACAAATTGCAAAATTTTTCTAAAACATTGAAAAATGTTAGTTCGAAAAATCAAATGTGAAAAAATTGTGGGTAAATAAAATGACGGTCTTTACCCAAGTACCATTCTCGCACCCTCACGTAAGACAATCACCTCAAATTTTTTTCAGAGAAGTTATTACCCAATGCAAAACCAGATCAATCGAATCTTGAAATACTTATAGACTTGCTGTTCGTAGACTTCGAATACTCATGTAAATCTGTGCACTTCCTCCAACAGCCAATAAGTGGAAAATTACTCTGAGTCCTGAGCAGCTGATAAGTATTTTTGTTCTTTTGTTTCTTTATGGAAAATTTTTACGTTTTCAATGGGCTTGTGCTGCGGAACGTTTTGTGCTGGCTCGTGGTACTTGCGTTGCCCCCACTACTTCTTTTTGCCGCAGGTGCATCGGCGGTACCCCTTATTTCAACGCTCGTTTTGCTAACGTTTTGGCAATTTTTCCGCGACGTAGGCACCGAGGAAGTAGCCGAAAATTGTTCCCAAGTAGAAAGAACTAACTGGTCCAAAATGAATGCCTCGTTTTCTTCCCGAAAACAATTTTCTCGGGATTTTTTTTTTTTTTCCCTAAAAAGCCTGCTTACCGATCATGGAAATTGAGTCTTCGTTGAGGGGTTCTGTTCTGGGATCCTTGATGAAAGATGGAATTGCCACGCTTGTGAATTCAAAGCAGATCCCACCAAATAATCCAGTTGTAAAGTGCTGCATTGATGCCAAAATCTGCGAGACATTTCGGATAAAATTTAGCACAAATGCTGTACATTGAAAAGTTGGCGATTTTGACGATTCGTTTTTGAGTGGATTAATCCCGAAAGGAATCTCAGTAAGAAAAAAGCTGCGAATACAATTTTTTAATGTTTCAGAAATTCTACACTAGTTTATCAACCTAAAGTTTCTTTGAAAAACTTCGAGCGTAGTTCAAGTAGCATTTATTGCCTTTTTTAATGGACAAGAATATCGCAGGATGAAATACTGTCTCATGGAAAATATTTTCGCCATCATTCTTTTTAAAGCACATCAATTAAAATTAATTACCTGAGGCCAAACTTTCGGCTTTGACAAGTATTTAATATCAACATCATGAAATCGCTCTTCCGGCGGAGGCGAAACAGTCGAGATCGGCGATGAAGAATCTCCCTCGCGTTCAGATTGATCTGGGTTCCTCGAAAAGTCTTCATCGAATTTCATGAAAGCAGGAATAAAATATTGAAGATACCCGTTATTAATGGATGTTGAGAACGATGAAGGATTTGCTCGGGGTGGACTTTCTTGTCGTAAAAATTTGATGAGTCCAACCTCGTTTGAGGAAGAAACAATACATGGTAGAGATGATGTACAGTACTGTACATGCATTTCAAATCTTCCCTGCTAAATCTTTGGAAAGAACTGCTTGAATTGTTACTCAAACTTAGCTTGAAATTTATAATTGAAAGTTTTTTCTCGCAGTATTCAATCCAAAAGTTTCAATCACTAAATCGTTGGGAATGATTTGTCTTAATTTTGACGCTGGGAGTTGAAAGACTTAAAAGGTATAGGAAGTGAATGGTAGTTACTCCCTTACTTTGTTAATTAAATTACTCCACGTCATAAAAACTAAAGGACAGGCTCGTTGCGGTCTTAAGTTTCTGTATTATCGTTGCGGAGACATTCAAAGACATAATATGTTGCATAATACTGTATGTCTATGGGGGACGGAGTGTCTCAAAAATTGACACGAGGCTTATTCTGGTTACTGAGAAAGTTTGATTCAATTTTTGAGACATGTTTCTCATACTATACTGCATGCACGACTCGAAACCCACGATTTCAATGCAGATTATTTATTTAATTTTTGTCCTGAGGGATTAAAATTGGTCGGTAGAAAAACTCAGGAACGAGGGGCAATTGAAGGAACCAATCTTTCTAATATTTTTCTATTATATGATCACCTGAATTGTACACTTAATTAAATCAAATTATCAAATTAAATACTTCATCAAATTAAATACTCCGCAATAAATACAGTACTAGGATTGCAAGTCTCATTCGTCCAATGAGCGTATCCCAAATTAAATACTTATCAAATGAAATACTTATCAAATGAAATACTTCGCAATAAATACAGTACTAGGATTGCAAGTCTCATTCGTCCAATGAGCATATCCCGAACCAATTCATAGGAGTAATATTCAGGTAAAAATTCTCCACGTTTTGAATGTCTGAATTGCGGAACTGAACCAACATCCTGGGCTGCTGGACTCAATTTCAATTTGTGCGCGCAGAAAATTCCGATGCCTGTCTCCTTTTTTTTTTACTTTAATGATTTTTCCCCATCAGTCGCATGATGTACGGGTTGCCTGTTGGAATTAGAGGAAAAGAGCTCGTGGTTTTTATTTCGAGACTGCGGAACAGCAGGGTTTAATCTCAGAGGGGTACAAAGGGCCTATATATTTTTACGTCGTATACATTCTTGCGCTTCGAAAGGCTTTCAAAGACTTGAAGGAGTGTAAGTACTACTGTGAAAAGCCAAGGATCTAAAGATGTTCAAATGTTCTGTGTTGTGATGAGCAACACTACGATCCAACAAAACACAAACTACCATTCATTTCCTGCGATAATCTCTCTGAGTATGCAGTATTTCATCATTTCGGGTATAAAAAAGGCAAACTACATCCTCACAAATTTGAAAATGAAGAATTAAATGAGTTATGTGACGCATAAATTGTGATCATTGTTGATTTGAGGCTTATAGATGATAAACGGGATAATAAAGAATAAACTTCCGAGTCCTTATCACATCCATATTTTTGAAGGGAAATCGCTGTTTTTGAACTTTGAGAATGATTAAGCTAATATTGTGTAAATCAAAACATGCCAATCAGTTTAATATCTCAGACATGACAAATGTATTTATTGTTAAATATAGGCTTATATACTAGATACTAGATTTCTAGATCGAGCCAAATATTTTGCATTCGGTCAAGAAATAAAAAAAAACCACGCGGGGAATATGTAATAAAAAAATCTTCAAAAAACCTCGTCCCATTGTCTCTTTTTATGCGTATATTGAAGTTGACTTGAGCCCACATTTTTGAAAAAATGTCAGTACAGTACGTTTGGAACGAAAAAATCTTCAACGGATCTCATCCATATTTTTCTCTTTATGCAAATTGAAGTTTACTTTTGATCAACCCCGCATTTTTGAAAAAACTTAGCCATGTAAACCTTGTTTTTCTTGACCCGACAACCTTACAGTTTAAGGGTCGTCAACTTAAAGCTTTGTTAAAAGTGTAGAGGGTTTTATTTATTTTGTTTCAACTAGTAAAGACAGATACTTATTATGTAACTCTTACAGTGAAAAAAAAGCACAGAACGTGGGCCAGAAAATTTAAAAGAGATCCTCAATTATTGGACAACAGGTTTTTAAATTCAACTTGCCGTGATATTCAAGGCGCCTCCGAGAAAACTTCCTGCATATCCCTGGCATATTTTTCTTCTTATTTTTAAAAATGGGTTTCCAAATAAAAGGGGTGCAGTGTGCTGGGGGTCTTTCCCCCCTTCCTGTTTCCGTTTCTCGCCCATGGGTTCGTTTCCTCCCGGGAAAACGGATCCGGGCAGCCACTTCAATCACCCGACTAAACTCACAATGACGCGGAGCGAAACCCTTACACCGAGTCCCCTCTGCAACCACTCGGCGTCACACCTCAACTAATACAGGACGAAGCTAACACAAGGCTTACCTGACGTTAACCTCCGAACGGTTTTGCTTCAGCATTATTGCCTCCTTTCCCAGCACATGAACACACAGTTCCTTGATTATTGCAGAGTTTGGTCTTATCTTCATTTCTCAATCCACACCTCCTTGGAAATACAGTTAAACCTGTCCAAGTTGAATTCCTATAGGGACCAGGAAACGAATCTGACTCAGGAAGGTTTGACTTAGGCGGGTTTTTGATTAAGGAAACAAACATTTTCTTGCAATGAAGCATGAACCATTGTGGGAAATTGTAACTGAAAATATAATGAGCCTTAACTTGCTTCTTGATGAGTTTAGAGCAGTGTTCCCCAACCTTTTTGGTCCTACGGCCTCAGAAAACTTTGCTGGTCCTCAGAAAATTTCTTGGAAATTTGCTGAGGACCAGCAAAGTTTCCTTAAATTTTCTGAGGACCAGCAAAGTTTCCTTAAATTTTCTGAGGACCAGCAAAGTTTCATGAAATTGCCTGAGGACCAGCAAATTGTAATAAAATTTTCAAGAGTTAATTTTACAACCATTGTCTTGTCAAAAAAAGATACTGTAATGTCCTTTGTTGCTGCTTGTGAAAAATGCATTAGACTGGAGAAAATTCCTGTGGACTGGCAACAAACTTCTGTGGACTAGCACCTGTCCACAGGTTGTGGAACACTGGTTTTCAAGAGACTGGTTTAGAGCATTCAGAACTTGGGGTCATCATGGGTTCATTTGCTCAATCAGTCTTTCATTTCCTTTAAAGATGCATCAAATCTTTTGTTTTATTGTTTTTCTCTTTCATATTTTGAGGAAATAATATCAAAAATGCCTGAGGAAATTTGATTTCTGGAGGCTTCAGAGAAAAACAAACTTTGAGTGGGGAGGTTTTTAATGCATTGATTCTAAGGGAATTCAGACAGGAATTGAAGAAAAAAATTCAAATTGGGAGATATTTGACTTAGGGAGGCTCAACTTACCAAGGTTCAACTGTACAATGAGGTAGTGGTTTGGGAACTAGTGGATGCAGGCAACTACAGTAATTGTTTGTGGGTAAAAACTTTTTACACAGTATAGATAGCTTGGATTTTGCTATGTTTATCTTCTTCATCAAAAACTCCCTAATTCAAATACTGTATCCAGTTAGTTCCTGGCAAATTCCTTCAAAATCAATGCGATTGAACCTTCTTAATTAAAAACTATTTGGATAAAGGATTTGGATAAAGCCTTGTAGAGCAGTACTATTCTAAGGTTTTTTTTTATTTGAATTCAGAATGAAAAAAAATATTGAATACTATATATTTAATTATATTTTTTTATTGAATTCAGCATCTTTTAGGGAAGCAAAGAAAAAAACATAAGCAAATTGCAGCGAGAGCCAATGCAAATGTCAGGTGCCCTGACATGGTTAATTTTACTTATACAGACCCGTTTAAAATAAAAAAAATTATGCACTGACATCATCGTCTTGAGATAATTTCACAATTTCAGAAAAATGTAAAAATGTAAAAAAAATGTTCGCATATTTTCAATCAGCAGCATAGAAGGCATCTTTGAACAGGTTCCTGCAGAAATGTGTCCAAGCCTCGTATGAAACGTGAATGTCGATAAGTTCCCATTGTTGTCTCTTAAAATCGCACGAAAGTCAAAAAGCATTTCTGGAAAAGTTTAAAAGTGCTGAAAGTGGTACTTCCGTACAACATTTTTTTAGCAAGCGCGTGTTTACAATGATTGTCATTTTCTCTAGCGCAAAAGATTCTCACGACAGCCAGTCGTTTAAGGTTATATACTGTACATATTTTCAAATTACACATTTTCCATGTGAACCAAGGAACATACAATGCAGTACATTTCTTTTATCTCTTCAGCATGTTTTTTTTTTTTTTTTAGTCAGAAAGTTGAGGGAAAATACATCCGCAACTTCGCGAGAATCCAGCAATCATCCGAGTTCATTCTTCGTTCAGCCTCTTTTGTTTTCGCCGTGTGTCTCAACTGATTCTCTGAGGACTTCCCTAGGAACCTTCCTATTGGACAAGAAAGTGGGAGGAGCCAGTAAGTGAGCTAAAAACCGTTTCGCCGATCCCGCCCCGTCCTTGGCCAAATTGCACCCCAGAAACTCCCACTTCTTCCTCCTCCTCCTCCTCTTCCTCTTCCACCGCCACGCAAGAAAATGGCACCTCCTTGAAGGCAAAGCCTCTCCCCGCTCAGGGCCCCGCCTGCCAAAAAAAAAAAAAAAGAAGCAACGGCCCCCTAAGGAAAAAGGAAAACACGCCTGGAAGAAATAAGCAGAGGGCCAAGAATCGAGGCCACTGGGAAATAAATTGAGATGTATTGTCCTCGAGGTTTTATTGGCAATTCGCGAGCTCGGCGCGTGCCGGAAACGAAGTGCAGTCTCCGAAGGGGGCCCGCAGAATTCCCTCGGCGTGCGCGAAAGCGAGGCAAGGAGAGAAGAAATTTTTTATTTCCTATACTGCCTTTCTTTTTTTTGCACAAGGATTCTTCCGGGAAAAATGAGCGCTGGGTGCCCGCAAAGCAATCTCACGCCGTGCATGCTTCTCTGATCACTGACTCTTTCTTCAGACTTATATTCCTCTTTCTTCTTTTTTTTTTCTTCTTGTGCTGCGCCTTCTTGAGTCTCTAGAGTGCGAAAAAATTATTTAAAAAAAACTACAAAAAATAAAATAAAACGAGGAAAAGACAAGCCTGGTTTTCCGCTCATGCCTCGATAGCCTGTCAAAGTTGAAATTCCCTTGCACCCTGAGGAAGAGAGACGAGATCACCGCACACTTTTTCAGAGACTGGAGAATCTTCTGGAATAAAAGAGAAACTTTGAGGCAGTTAAACATATTCCGCGCGTCAAGCAGAAAGCTCTATGGGGGAATGACCAAGATGTTGTATGTCCAGTGTAGAGTTTTTGTAAAGAAATGCATATGAGAGCAAGACGGGTTTGTGTTATAATTGACTCTCGGGACGTTATCCAACAGGAGGTCACATAGATTTTTTTCTCTCCAGACTTCCCCAATCAATCCAATACGTGGTATGTGGAAAATATATTGGTCACGTGAGATTTTTCAAGCCAAAAATGTCTTGCATAGGTAACTTCTTGGGAATAATCAATGGTTTAAAGCAAATGTTTTATGGAGATTTTTCGTAAAATTATGACGCATCTTCATGAAATGAAAGATTATTCCCTTCAAACCCAAGTTTTTCTGTACAATTATACTTACAATACTACTGTAATTGAAAGTAACAAAGTTTTCCTTTAGAATAACACATTTCCCATAGTCTGGGTCCAATAAGGAAGGTTCCTCATTACAAATCAATTTCTTCTCTTTCAAAAGTAGAAGTCCTCTTGTAGAAGTATCAATTATATTGCACATNAGAAGAAGCGGAAAATATATCATGTGCTGGTCTCACAATCGTGAATTGACGCACTCGATATTTTATAGTTTACCTGCAGTGCTTCGAAGTGATGAACGAAGGAAAGGTTTTGAATAATAAGCGCGGTCAAGTTCAAATCACATAATGCGAGTTTTGAATCAGCTAATACTGTACATAATTAAGCGTTTTCGAAAAATACAATGGGCCAATAATATTGATTTTGGCGCAAGTTATGCTAGCTGACTTGAGGCGTGCCCGACCAAAACGAGCAGCTTCGCAGCACACGTTCTGCAACGGCCACTCATGGTACTTACAAATTAGCGTTTTAAAAGATCTCATGTAGATGTCGCTAACATTTAGTTTAAATGAACGTTCTCTTAGATCCGCGTTTGTTTCTTGCAATTTTCCTTCCCCGACTTAGATTCGGATAAAGATGTACGATGTATTTTTTCTAATTTTCACGCCACATGTTTTGGATGTGACCATCAGGATGAATCTTCGGAAGGGGAATTATATCATTGTAAATGGTGCTGTCTTGACATGAGAAAAAATTACAGTATTCAATGAAGTGCTTCTTGGTAATTTTAGGCACTTAAAAACTGAAAAACTCAGTGAAATCCACACAGCTTTAAAATTTTGAACTCTTTTCCTAGATTGAAAGCCAGAAAATGCCTTGAAAATTGCAAGACGATCAGGAGATGATGACGCTGCACATCTCCCGGATACTTCACTACGGATAAACCCCTGTGCCAACAATTTTGGCTCATTTTTCATTAAAGGTTTTTTTGACAGGTTCTGGGATCCCTGCACCATGTCGCGACAGGGATTTATGCCGGTTTTTGCGGCGAATACACGAGTGTCGCCATTCCATCCTTTCTTGCCGATCCAAGAGCACAAAAATTGGCGCAGAGCGAAGTTGCTGCAATCGGTTATTATAACTTTATACGTTTTATTCGATTGCTGGCACACATTTACTTGTTTTGCGTGTGCCAATCTGCAGTTAGCACGTATTACGCCGGATTGATCGTTGGCTACTTTTTCGGGGCTTTTGTTGCGGAGAAGTTCTCGAAACGCGTTTTCCTATTGGCGACCTTCTTGCCAATGGCTGCCGCTTGGCTGCCATTTTGCTTCGTGACGAGTCTTCCTTTGATGATCATCGCCAGATTATCTCAAGGTTTGATTTACTGCTAGATTCAATTTTCAAAGTTTTTCTTATTCAATTCGGCCAAATCAGGCTTTACAAGTGGACTCGCTCTGTCACGAAATGCAAGGGACCGAAAAAATAATAATTGCGGAGAACGACAATAAAATGGGAGAGATTCCTAACTTCCCAAGGGACCAACAACAAGAAAAAAAGATCGTTGTAGAGAGAGTCCACTTTCATTTATTTGTGCATCGAGAAACCCTATGTTTGCACCGTGTTTTTTGTGTCGTAATGTAAAATCGTTATAGCTAATCAATTTTCAAAAATGTATTTAAATCGCAGAAAACGGATTTTTCATTGGCGCGATTCTTTTCAGGTCAGAATCGTTTTGTTACAAGACTCTATTGAAGAAGGAAGCACATTAAATGATTCAAGGCGCGTATCATAATTTTTCAAGAGTCAGATGGAAACAAATGGTTGCAAACCCAATTGTTTCCCAATTCATCATCTTTACTTTTTTTTTCCAGTACGGCAGCGTGTAAAAAGCGGTTCAGAATGCATTGCTCTTGATATCTGTGTGTATGATGAACTCCATATTTCCCTCCATAAATCTCTTTTTAAAAGGTTTACAGATGTTTTACTCGAGTAAAACGTCCACCTTGATTTTTAAACTGGGATTCAGGTACACAGTACCACGCACGCAACAAAAATAGGCGTACGTGGTACCCGAATAGTGAATAAGGTACTGGGGCGAACTTCAGTGAATTCTACTCCGTTTTATTTATTTATTTTAAATCACGAAAAAAGGGACAATTTTGGGTGCGAGGACAAACGTGAGCCACGCATTTGTATTGGAAATCACGGACGAACGGAGCCGGAACTGGGCGATTTCCTCCTTGGCCTTGGCCGTCAGCGTTGGAACCCTGG